CCTCAAAGATCTATAATATTATGCTACAAGATGGTTCAGTCCTCTGTTTAACCAACTAAAAAACAACAAGAACAACACGTCCTCAAAATCAGCGGTGGCGCCAACTGAGAAATTGCGCGGAATTGGGGGAACAGCTAACAATGAAAATAAGGAAATATATCAGGGTAGCATTGTTACTACGCGTTCCTGGAAGTTTCATGCATCTTAATTTTTTTTCAAGGTTAAATTTTATTTTGATCCAAGGATGAATGTGGCTGTACCTGAAGAAGTTGTGGGCCTGATTAAATTATTTATAACATTGTTAGATCTTGATTTATCGACGCCCCTTCCCACTGCTCTTTCATATCGGTAGAGGTGCTAACATGAACAGTGTGACGCAGGACTTCAGCGTGTTAATACCATTCAATGGTAGTTGGTCAGAAGATTTCCAGACTTTGCACGTGTCGGAAACCTAGAACTGGTCTATTGTAGACTAAGATAAGATAAGATAATACTGTGTTATCCCCGAGAGCAATTTTGCTTAGCTGTACAGGACCGTAAAAACACATGCAGGTATACATAGAAGTTTAAATTATATAGATATATTACTCTCATCAAAATCCAATATGAAAAGAGAAATAAAGCTGACAAAAAGTACATAGCACATCAGATGCTTCATTCACCACATGCAGGAATTTAATTACAAGATCTGTAGAGCTATACTGGAAAATTTACACTGGCACACTCAAAACAATTTTTTTTAAAAACAAAAAAAAACAACACAAAAACCACAAGACATAATAATATGGCACAAGAACTGAAAGACTTAAGAACAATAGTAAGAAATATGTTATCACAAGACCGTGTAAAAATTGAGTAAGCGTGACAAATTTTTTTAAAATATGGAGATCTGTAAGAGCCTTATGAATGCAAAATTTCTGAAGTAATACAATGCGAAAGAAAAATAATATAATACGCAGACTAACAAATAGCTTACTATGACAAAGGATGACTAACAATTACTGAAAATTGTTAGTTTTTATCACATTTTGTCGTGTTGTCACGGGGAAGGGTGGGAGGGGGCGATCGTGTTCAACGTTTGTTATTGTCTTTAACTGGGCTCGAGAGACCGTAGTATCGTAGCTGGAAGACCTCAGCTGAGCGGAAAGCCAATCGCAGTCCGAAATTGCAGCAATAAATGTTTTTCATACCTAAATATGACCTACTTTTCTTCCCGAGAAACGAAAGAGGGCTCCAAAACAGTGGCCGTAGCGCTACATCAGAATCAGCGCGATTGATTTTTTTTCTTTTCTTTTTTTTTTTTAAAGCTGAGTGAATTATTTCATAGTAGACTACATGATATTTGATCCGCTAACGTTTCCTCAAAGGCGCAACCGTCATTTCTGAGAACGATATTTTTTGTAGCTGGAACAGAGAAGCAAATCATTTCGTAGTATGCAATTTTTTTTGGGTTGCCTACTCTCCCCAATCTTATTCAGTTTCTTTCTTGAAAGAATCGGGAAAGACACCGTCCATGAGCATCACACTACCATATCACCTGGGGGCGGTAGCATAATAATATGCAACCTCCGATTTGCGGACTATAATAATGTAGACCTTATAGCGGGCTCCAACGATGGACTACAAAACCCAACAAACAAATGAACAGCATTGCTTCATCATTTGGAATGGAGGTTAGCATAGCAAACTTAAAAGGCATGGTCAACGCCCCCAAAGGACGCTAAAATAACAATGAGCAATGGAAAACTTGAAGAAGTCCACCAATTCAAATATCTTGGCTCGTTGGAAAAAATAACAAACAAACAAACAAACAAGCTAGCAAAATAACAAACAAAAACGGAACATCGTTCAAAGAAGCCACGGCCATAGTAATAATAGCTCATGCCACCATGTCCCAACTTGACCAAATCTGGAAGAACACCAAGATCAACTTACTCGCAAATCAAATTCAAATAAAACAAACCCCTTGTTATTTCCACCTTTCTGTATGGCTGTGAATCCTGAACACTACAAGTGGGTGGTTGGCGGGTGCTCCGGTGTGGTTTTCTCCTTCTTTCCTGTCAAAAGTATATCGTCCTTATCTATCATTCTTTTTTGTGTTTGTTACTTTCTTGTAACACCTATAATCTTCGGCACGTAAATGACATTATTGTATGGCAAGTGCCGTAAAACTCTCACTAAAAAGGAACATTACAAATGAAAGACCGCATCGTTTGAGATGGAAAACATCCAGAAACTTATAAGTATACCTTATAGAGAACACAAGACACACAATGATGTGTGGACAACAGTAACATTGAAAATATAGTCGAACCACAGGAACCACGGCTAGCTATATTAAAAGGAGAAAACTGGCCTGGATTGCACATACTGCCCAGCATTAAAACCTTGCAAACGCAATCATGCAGGGCACTGTTGAAGACCGCCGAAAAAGAAGACGACAAAGTAAAAGTTAGTCTAACAGCATCAAAGAACGGATTGATCTGTCAGCAAGAGAACTCTTTGACGCGCAGGGGGACATCGAGAAAAATCTCAAAAAAATGTTCCGGGCTCATTTCCCCCCTACGGTACGAGGCAAGTCAATGGACGAGTGAGGATAATGAGGAGTACAAAATCTATGCCACCAGACACATGTAATTATGATATTGCTAACCACTGATATATAATAAATTACCTGTTGGCATCATTATCAACACCTTTCGAGGTTGTATGCTTGATCAATCATCTCAACTCTCGGCAATCATTTGCGTTTAGTTCGCTGGATCCAGTCGAAGGTGTTTTCAACATAATATTATGGCTTTGCAAATCTGTCCTTCCTTTATCTCTCTGCTCTTTTACCTCGTGCGACGGTCTTAACGTGTATAACAACGGGTTGTCTCATGGCGTATCCTAAAATTGCCAATGATTCCGATTCTCCCGAGACCCAAGGACCTGTTTCTGAATTTGACAATTAATAAACCCAGAGTCTAGTCTCAGTCTTCCTTCTCCTGCCCCTCCACCTCCGTTTCCACCGTCACCTCGTCTCCCCCCTCCTCCTCCTTCTCCTCCTCCTCCTCCTCCTCCTCCTCCTCCTCCTCCTCCTCCTCCTCCTCCTCCTCCTCCTCCTCTTTCTTCTCCTTCTCCTTCTCCTTCTCCTTCTCCTCCTTCTTCTTCTTCTTCTTCTTCTTCTTCTTCTTCTTCTTCTTCTTCTTCTTCTTCTTCTTCTTCTTCTTCTTCTTCTTCTTCTTCCTCCTCCTCCTCCTCCTCCTCTTCCTCCTCCTCCTCCTCTTTCTTCTCCTTCTCCTTCTCCTTCTCCTTCTCCTTCTCCTTCTCCTTCTTCTTCTTCTTCTTCTTCTTCTTCTTCTTCTTCTTCTTCTTCTTCTTCTTCTTCTTCTTCTTCTTCTTCTTCTTCTTCTATATGATTTCATTGAATTGAAGGTCTAATGTTTTATGCCCCCTTCGACATCTACAACATTCAGAAGCGGGCTGCTTTGAGCCTCCATGTCATAGCCAGACCGGCTGTGAGGGATACTACATCCCAGCAAACAGACGGGTATTCTCGATGAAGTAAATTTCATCGTTCGGTAATGGAACCCAAGGAGAGCCTAACCACAGACGGTTTTAAATCGTAAAATATATTGTGTAAACGATTAACACTTTCATGAATTTTTTTTCTCAATATTTTCCATTATACTTCATTTTGTTCAGCACTGTCCCATAACAAAAGGAAAAAAAGAAAGATTGTGAAATGGCAGAATGATGCACCAGGAAGACCCAAAAATGAGTATCAGTTTGACAATTCGTAGAATGAAGCATTATAATCGTCTCTGGAAAAGTTTTGCAATTTCTATAGTAAAATTTTAAACCTTACCTTTGTCCGAAGGCCCCAACCTTTAAAGATCTCAACAGTTCAAGTTGGCGTTCAGGTTTATCGCCCCTCCCGCTTTCAGTGTCAGAGACACCAAACACATTTGAACAGAAATAAAAATAAATGTGGGTATTTTTTGCGCTCCCTTCAACACAATTTAGATCATTTGGGAGGCCAGGTTTCACTCCTGTCTGTCAGTGCCAACCAGGCTGAAACATATATACATCCTTGTAAAAAGACCAGGATACTCGATAAAAATTCTCTACACTAGGGAATCGAACTCGAGCCTCCCTCGTGCGCCAGCGAAGCGCCTAACCTCTACACCCCAGACTCCGGTGTATTTGAACAGTCGTTCGGGCATATCAGTTCATTTCTTGTTACGGGAAGAGGCCGAACTTTGTTTTCGCTTACATTGGTCCATGGCGCCACTACGTTAAAAGGTGCATATAAGATCGTAGGTTTAATACTATGGTGCTAGCTTTACAAAGTTGACAGTTCGATGTTGTTGAAGCTTATATAAGTCAACGTGTGTGGCAGCTTTGAAAAATGGGAACTAAAGGTAATTTCCAAGCCCCCCCCCCCAAAAAAAAAGAACAACAACAACAAAAAACAAAAAAACAACAACAACAAACAAAAACAAAAAAACCCAGCTGAATCCTAATCCTCACTCTTTGTCCAACGATCAAATTATAGGAGGAGGTTGCATGAGAAAGAAGCAGTTGCTTTTTCTTTTTCTTTTTTTCCGTGCTCCTAAAAATCTTGCCTTCCATGCTTTGGACCTTTGAACAGTATTTCAATAATATCTACGCACACAAACACACAAACACACACATACACTCGCACGCACACGCACACACACACATACACACACAAACACACAGACAAACACAGACACAAACACACACACAAACACACACAGACACAAGCACACACACACACACACACACACACACTTACACACACACACTTGCTCACACACACACTGCACACACACACACACACACACACACACACACACACACACACACACACACACAAACACACACACACGAAAACATCATCATTGTTGTTTTAACTGACAATCACTTCCAAACAGATATGCAGTAAAACAATTTTCGTAATTTTATTTCTCGTCACTCTTTTTTTTTGGCAGCTGGATACTTGGATGATATCGCTCTAACTGAAAACGAATACGAATCGTTTGAGAGGAGGTGGTTGGCTCTCAAGAACAACATTTCCGATAGTCCTCAACAGTCAATTGTCAACCATACAGACGCAGATAGGACGCAGTCACCCAGGTATGTGTTACTGGTGACAATCGCCATGTTATTGCAAGGCTTTTTAGAAAGACATTTTTTTCTTTCTTTGAGTAAAGAGAAGCACATCGATACGGTGTGGTCATTAAGTGCCGTGAAAAAGTAAGCAGACCGTCAGATGTAACAGAAGAAAAATAAAGAAGTAGTGCCTAGCAGAAGCGCCCAATAACTCTCTAACCACTCTTGAAACGTATTCACAGCCTGCTATTTGGCAGAATTGTTGTACTCAGCACACAAGTGCAGGTTTGCGGGTTTTTATTGTGGTTGGGGTTTTTTGTTGTTGAGTTTTTGCTTTTGTTTTTGTACTCATGTATGTGAGTTTATCGATTCATTTGCGCGGGTGGTTGGAAAGAGCCTCTTGTAAATCTTACTTCTTTGCTATCATTCTGCTGTGTTTCCCTATCTGTCTTTATTTTCACAGACAATAATGGCATTTTATTGTGTCGATGTTCTTCTCATTACTCAAACCTGACAGTTTGTTTGGGTGTATTCGCTTGTTTGTTCGCATAGTAAAAGTTCGTAGGAAAAAGACAGGAATTTTATCTACGAAAAGACAGCACAACAATTGAATGTCTTTGTGTAATATTTTCACCTTAGACAGAAGCTCCATTGTTCATCATTGTGTTTCATTCACCAGGGCTGTTACAGGTGACGCCATGGATATGGAGAAGAGAAAACTTCGTCTACAGAGTTTGGTGGAGGAGAAAGACGAACTCACGCAGTTAATCAAAGAAGCGCGTGCAGAGCTGAAAAAAACTTGCCATGACAGGTGAGCGCCACAGAACTGGAAAATGACAAAAAGAGAAATGAGTTTTTAAAGGTGATCAACGGGATGTCCTAACTTCTCGCAATCGCCAAGATAATATAGGGGAAGAAAGAAAAACCTTCACAGGAGATGTATGACAAGCCATCTGAAATCAGCGCTAGTCACTTTTTGCTACGTGTCATGATTGCTGCTGTGGCTGTTCTTTTTTGTATCTTGATATGTTTGTTTGTTTGTTGTTGTTATTATTTTTGTTGTTGTTGTTGCTGTTGTTGTTGTTGTTGTTGTTATCACTTTCGTCCTTCTTTTTGATGCCATGTGGTGAAGTGCAAATGTCACTTTCTAATGTTTCACTACACCAAAAGAGATTCTACAGTGTATTTCTGAGGAGAAAATGATGGTCGACTATGATAAACTGTAACTGTGATGCTTGTCAATGTTATATGTACCAGTTTAGGTTATTTAAGAAGCTGATTGCTTCCACCGGGTAGAATATGGCATCCCAGCTGAAAACTGTAAATTCTCGATATAATAGACTTAGGAATCGAACACAAATAATGTAGTTAAATAGTGAAACCTCGCTTTAGTTTCGGTACTCGATATCTTTGTGACGCGTAACACCTTTGTTACACTCCAGGACATTGCGTGATATTACAAGTTACGTTTTTCGAAAATGTTCTGCCTTGTGTAAGACATAGTGGCGTTGTTTTCCCCACCCAAGCCATTTTAAAGTGTAATAACTTCGCCGCTGCTCGTGTGCCTTAAGTATATTTTTCCCAGCTCTGTGTCTTGAAGCCTCCTCAAGGATTATTTGACGATCTGTGTCTGCCAAACGTCCCAATTTACCCTCTCAGACTGGTAATTTAAAGTGTACAGGACAGGTGCTGTGAAGAACGCGCTGATTTATTGCATCGTTCTGAAAGAGAGAGAGAGAAAGAGAGAGAGAGAGAGAGAGAGAGAGAGAGAGAGAGAGAGAGAGAGAGAGA